GAATTCATCGCAAATACATAGCAAAAAGTTAATTTCGTGCAAAAGTGGCGTCAAAAAGAGATGACTCAACTGTTCATTTTCAAAACACTCACTATATAGCTGGAAATATTCTAGGCTGGGAATGTAGCGTGCATCTGTTGTTGTTCTAATTAGCCAACATCGCATTGATAGAACGGATTCAAAATTACACTAACCGTTCACCAAAAAGTTTCGCCACGCTAATTTTACCGGTTTCACATGAAAATCTCGCAGAATGAATGGTTATTTACATCATATTCTCCCCGATCAGAATTTTTCGGGGAGGTTCAAAGCAATTTGAGAGATGAGGCAGGGCGCTGTTTAGCTCTGAGGACAAGCATGGACGCGCAGACCCGCACGGCACCATATTCATGGGGTGCATACAGAGGTGCGATAGGGGGAGCCAAGTCTCCCCCTACCTTCACTTTTGAGCTGGTACGGGGTGACCACCTTCACTTTTGGAATAAAAAATTTTTCGCTGGACGACAAAGAAGGAAAATAAGCAAAACAAACGCAAAAAAGATTATTGAAAGCATATATTTATGTATACGGCGGCATATATATTTAAAATAAAGGTTTTTAGTAAATGGTGTATTTGGAAGTAAAGCTTAGCAAAACTGTACGGATTTTATTAAGCAAATTATGTTATAACGTATAGCGAAGGAAGTAGGTCGATCCAGGCAGTAACGGCGGAGAACCAGAATTTTGAATATTTAAATAGTGAAAAATCATGCGAAATTTCCACTGTTATAAATCTGTTGTTTGAAGATGTCAGCAGTTGCGACTTCATAGGTTTTGAAGAGTAGATGTTGCTCTATCAGCTAGTGAAGGAATCGGGTCGATTTAAGAGATAGTCGTTGAAAACCAGAGTTCTAAAACTTTACGCCATTTTTGCGTGTTTTTTGACTGTTGAAAGTTAAACTCTTATAAATCTTGAATGTGGAAGTGTATGATGTTGCGACTTCATAGGTTTTATAGAGTAAGGTTTGCCTTATCAGAATATGTCTTGTCCGTTCCGATCCATTGAAACACCTCCGAGATCCAGAGTCATGAAAAAGCAGGTAAAAAAGAGCTTTTTGAACTTCAACAGCTCATAACTTCTTCAGAACGGCATGAATCATGTTGCGACTTCATAGGTTAGATTCCTCTCATCAAGGGCTTTCAGATGATATATAATATGTGGGGGTTTAGAGCCTCCTGCGAATTATGACCGGGGGGGGGAGACTTTTTAGGCCAAAGTCTCCCCCTCGCCCATTTTAATGTATTGGCTGGAGGCTGCCGGGGGAGACTTTGGCCTAAAAAGTCTCCCCCCCCCGGGCATATGCCGTAAGAGGCGCGAAACCCCCACATATTATATATCATCTGAAAGCTCTTGACGAGAAGAATCTAACCTATGAAGTCGCAACATGATTCGTGCAATCCTGAAGAAGTTATGAGCTGTTGAAGTTCAAAAAGCTCTTTTTTACCTGCTTTTTCATGACTCTGGATCTCGGAGGTGTTTCAATGGATCGGAACGGACAAGACATATTCTGATAAGACAAACCTTACTCTATAAAACCTATGAAGTCGCAACATCGCACACTTTCACACTCAAGATTTATATGAGTTTAACTGTCGACTGTCAAAAAACACGCAAAAATAGCGTAAAGTTTTAGAACTCTGGTTTTCAACGACTATCTTTTAAATCGACCAGATTCCTTCACTAGCTGATAGAGCAACATTTACTCTTTAAAACCTATGAAGTCGCAACTGCTGACATCTTCAAACAACAGATTTATAACAGTGGAAATTTTGCATGATTTTTCACTATTTATTTATTCGAAATTCTGATTCTCGGCCGTTACTGCCTGGATCGATCTACTTTCTTCGCTGTACGTTATAACAAAATTTGCTTAATAAAATCCGTACAGTGTGTGTGTGTGTGTGTGTGTGTGTGTGTGTGTGTGTGTGTGTGTGTGTGTGTGTGTGTGTGTGTGTGTGTGTGTGTGTGTGTGTGTGTGTGTGTGTGTGTGTGTGTGTGTGTGTGTGTGTGTGTGTGTGTGTGTGTGTGTGTGTGTGTGTGTGTGTGTGTGTGTGTGTGTGTGTGTGTGTGTGTGTGTGTGTGTGTGTGTGTGTGTGTGTGTGTGTGTGTGTGTGTGTGTGAATTTCTGTCTGTCACGAAATTCGTAGAATGAGATCCAACAAAGGTCTTGAGCTAGAATTTTGGTAGTAGCACCTTATCAGCATGTAGGTAAAATATGCAAAAGCATAAGCCGATCCGGCTACTGGAACCTGTGAAATAGCGCGCCAAACGGATCCACGCAACATTTCGCGCGCCAAAGTGGGCCTTTGAATGTACTTTTTTCAAAGTCATGGTTTCGTTTAGCAAGTAAATCCGCAAGCCATGGACTCCAGCCCAAAAAGTGAACAAAAAGTTTACTTTCATGCAAGATGGGCGCCAAAAAGGAATAATTGCGTAGATGATTGATTTGTCAAGGCTTTACCTGGGAATGTGAGAAAATTTTTGCTCAGAGATGTAACTCAAGGTTGTCATCATCTTTATGGCGACTATCAAGCCATTATAACCCCAGTAACTGATTCAAATTCGCATTTAATCTTTTGGAGAATACTTTCGCCCTTTCAAAATCACCGATCTTACACGATCTTTTGGAATGAGTAGTTGTTTACATTTCATTCGTGATGATCGGCATCGCGAGGTAAGTTTCAAGGCCATCATTTTGCGACTACGAGGAAGGTATGTGGATAGTAGAGCCAGTGCGAGCCTCTGCGAAGCAGAGGTGACGCACTGGTTAGAAAATAAATTGGTACTCAAATCATCTTTGAGTTTGAGAATTGTTCACTTTGTTTCAACCTGTAGGCAGCGATCAAAAAGAAATTTCGCAGTTTTGCAAATTTGAGAGTGGCATTGTGAGAGAATTTTACAAAGGCCAAATGTTCTCATCGTCACAGCAGCATAAAGAGCGTTCTTGTATGAGTTTGCCTCAGCTTATGTATACAGATGTTTGGGAATAGTTGCGTGCGCAGAGATTTGGAAACATTGCACAGGATTTTTTGAATTCTGGAATTCTTGGAAAAATTATGTCTATCATCACTGCTTAAGATATAGGTTAATCACTGATTCATTCGGGGAATTAAGTAAGATCTTATTGCACACTGTACTTCCGCGCTAAATTCTGGGAGGTTTCCAAACGTATTTGAGGATATATACCCATCTTTTGAATGTCTGGAACGGTAAAGTAGGGCTCCGAAGTACACCATTTAACTTCTGATCTACTGGTAGTGGAGGTCAGTCAACACCATCCAAGAATGTTTTTTGGACTCATTCCTTTCATCGAATTTGCAACATATTATTAATACCATAGTAAGTTCTTCTTCTGGATCACTACATTGGAATACTCAATTTGAATGATTACGAGCTGCTTAAGTGTTTAAACCACCTTGAATATCTATATGCTTTGAGGTGAAACTGACTGCTTAAAAATGCCCCATCTTGAGAACTTTAAAATTTACAGAAATTTATATTCTCTTTTCGCCACTTGACAACAGGAAAAAATTCTCAAAAAAAACCGCCGTCTGTTTGTGCTTTGGTAATGCCCGCAAAGGTATCAGTAAACATCCAAATTTTGACTGCATAGCAACACTACAGCACGCAAATTCTTTGTTGAGAAATCTGCGTTCGCACATTTTCCGCGGAATTCATGAGACAGCCTGATAACGCTCGCTGCAACAAATTCAGTTTCAAAAAACAACATATAATGCTGTTTCCAACAGCGCGACATGTACATCGGTCAAAATGCCTTATAGAATACCAGTGCGTCACCTCTGCTTCGCAGAGGCTCGCACTGGCTCTACTATCTATGTGCCTTTGCTCTATGCCTTCAATGTAAGTTTCCTGAAAAGGATTAAGAATGTGGACAGATAAAGAATCAATATGGGACAGTGCGACTTACTGATTTACTTCAACGCAAAATCAGTTGAAACCTACAGGTGATTCAACTCAATACTTACCCTATTTTCAGGTGTATAAGCCGCACCCTTTTTGCTCTAAACGCGAGCAGACCCAGGCGTGCCGCCGCGCATATGTCTCGCGAAGCGGTCGCCTTATCGCATACTGCTCTCACTTAACGCGCTTCATGATGACAGCCAGTCGCCTTCAGAGTGAAAAGGGTGCGGCTTATACACCTGAAAATAGGGTATTAGAAAGGAGGTGCTCGAGAAAGGTACACATAAAGTTTTCTTGGTGCGCTATATGGAGTAGATTACGCGGTGCAAACGAGACGCTAGTACCGAGAAAACAGAGCAAAAGCTTTTAATTTCAATGTTGTAGATTTTCAATATAAAAATGAACACATGCTTTGCTTTAGGCCTCGGACCGAGGTCACGCAATATCATCGTCGCGATTCATCGCTACAAGTGTAACGAGTTCATTGCATGCCAATCTTCTTGTATTTCGGTTGTGATAGTAAGTCACGATTAGTCGTGTTGGAAAACTATCACAACATAAATGCAAGAAGATCGGCATGCAATGATATTGTTTACAGTTGTCTTGTCGCGATCAATCGCGACGATGAAATCGCGTGGTGAACTCTGCCCGAGGCCTTAGGCAAAAGCGTGAATCAAAAATAATGACTAACCTTAGAACTCTGCTGACGTCCTTTCACCATGATTGAAGGCGAGGTTGCGGTATCAACTTTGCTTAGTGAATGGGTCAGTCGTCATTAAACTCACAGAACCAATGCCCTTCTCGGAAACACAGCGAGTAATTTCGGAAACCTCATCTTTGATATGCGAAAGGGCAACCGTCCACACTGCTTACCTTAATTGGCGGCCTCATCGGGAGGGGGAAGGGTAAAGTGACGAACATTCGCCGAATAATTCATCTCGTGCGTTTTATTAATAGAGATGGCACGAGTAGGTGGCGCCAAATCCAGATCCGAAGAAAACGACATGGGCTTTGATGAAAACTTTTCTGAGTAGTTTACATGGCAGATCTCTGTTTGAAGTTGCTTTCAGGAAATTCATGTCGTCTACTTTCTGCACGTGCTCCTATGCTTGTTTTATCGTCCAGAACGGAAGATGAATCTAAGACACTGCTTAGTAAGTTTTTATACGAACTGTCGATTATGGGGAACTTGAGTTTAGAAAAGTACCTCAAATTGCTTGGAAAAACTAATCTTGCTCGTCGCGATCAGCATATCTCCCTTATCGTCGACGCCACGGTATGGGAAGTAATAAGAAATTCAAATAAATTTTGATCAAAGATTTTAGTGCATGGATTACCTCTTAGTTGACGAATATGAACGATACAATTTCCTCCGTCTTGCGCTTTGCTGCTCAGCTGTTATTTGTTGTCGTTGCACTCCTATACAGAAGGTTGATGATTTACATTTGAACTTCTCAAAGGTTACGAAACCACTTTATTAGTCAAATCATAACCCTTTCTCGAATGATGAGCAGCACAGGAAGCCAATCGCATAGTCTTCTGGTTTCAGGTAATTATCCCTCTGTGAATAACAAAACACGATTTGAAGGCAGTGCCGGGCATATACTCGATTTGATTTTGTGCTTACCCGGGCCTATTCGTTATGCTGAATCCGAAAATCCACACTGGAAAGCGCGAAAACGGCGAAAGACGGCTCTAACACAGGAGGGTAATAGCAGGTGGGCGGGGTCCTCCCCACTGTGAATTCACGCTCCCAGCTTCCGGAGCGATCTTCTCGCTTCCGGGTTCAAGTCAATCATTCGCACTTGGCCGCTCAGATAATCGCCGGGGGCAGGCGGCCATGATTTTTGGGCAAGCGGGCACCGGAAAAATAGTTCGCTGATTTCTTGCGGTCCGCTTGCAGATATTTGGAAAAATTTTAGCGAAATTTCAGGCGAATGCTTGGAGAACTCCTTACAGATTAGCTGCGGCGCAGTGGCCGCATTCTCGCGGACTTTCCGCGAGAACATGCAAAATTTTCTGGGGCCGCACGGTCCTTTGTGGAGGACCGCGCAGCCCCCAGGTACTTTCCGCTGAGAGAAAACCTCAAACTTGAGTAATTAAACCATCAATGACACATTTGCTATGTAGAGTCTCACCATTGCTCGGCGTACGTCCGATACTGCTTAAAAACCGTCCGAGCGCCAGCTGAAAATTTGACCAGCGTTCGCTGAAAGAGATTATTTGACGAGCGCCTGCAGAAAATTCTGTGTTGCTGCCCTCTCGCAGAACATTAGACAGTAAAGGAAGCGTCGCCCGCTGAAGGTTTGGCCACGCCCCAAAATTCTGCTGACCGCCTGCAGAAAAACGCGAGTTTGCGGACCGCCTGCCCCGGCGATTGTCTGAGCGGCAGCGATGTTGGGCGGCTAGAGGGATTGAGAAGACCGCTCTGGAAGCTGGGAGCGTGAATGCACAGTGGAGAGGATCCCGCCCACTTGCTGTTTCCCTCCTGCGCTAGAGCCCTTTTTTGCCGTTTTCGCGCTTTCCAGTGTGGATTTTCGGATTGAGCATGGCGAATAGGCCCGTACAAGCACAAAATCTCAAAGTCGAGTTTTGCCCGGACACTGCCTCTAAAGGCACCGTCCACCCAAGGTCGATGAGATTTTGATGCCTAACAGTAGTGGGGCCCCCAACTGTATACTTATCCAACTTGCGCTGGCAAAAGTTGCTTCCGAAGCGAGAAAATTGCTTCGAAAATCGCTCGGATGACAGATTCGCCACGTTGGCTCCTTCCCTTTGAGTGGGCGTGACGTTTGTTCCGCCCATCCATGAGCGCCCAACCAATCACCGTTCCAATCGTGGTCGCGAATTCCCGACTTGGATCGGAATTAGGGTATGACAAGGCCCTGGAACGACAAATACATGGAGCCCGAAATGTTGGGTGGACGTTGCCTTTAAGGCTTTTACAACGTTACTTTGCAGTGCCGTATTCGTTAAGATGAGCTCCGAAAGAAGGTATCCTTTTATGATACCCCTCATGAAAGGCATGTAAGTAAATTTTCAACTGTAGCTAAAAGAAAAGCCAAATTATCCCCTGTGCCCAATATAAAAATGTGGCTCCAGAACTATTTTTTTGCATCTTCACGAAAATTTCTTCTGAATTCGATTGCAATACAATGTGATAGATCTTTCTGTTAGAACATACTACAAAGGAAAGTTTGAAGGACTCCTTGGCAGACATGGTTGAAGCGCCATATCTCTATCCCTGCGTTTATCTCTACTACTTTTGGCTCAAAAAAGGAGGGGCAATGCGATTTGCTCTCTTCACTATATGATATATTTTTGTGCGCTCCAATCTCCAAATTGAAGAGATCCAGAAATTATGTGAACTCTACATCATTTATGCTCCGAACCAACCCAGTTGGTTTGGCGATGGTCGAGAAACCAACAAATTCGAGGGCATTAGAACGTATAAGTATTTGAAACTTTTTAAAAATGTAGTCTGGAGTAATATTGTATACGCATAGCCCAGATTCGGTGTCATGTGATTGCTCGTGCGCTGTTATTTGAGCATTATTTTGAATTTGGCGCGCTTGATGAGAAAGAACACATTAGGGCATGTCATTCATGTATAGTAAGTCTCAACTCAGTTTAGGCGGAAATTGGACTGGCGGGAGTTCGCTTCGCAAACATTCGCGCCGCTTTGCAGTCTGTCTTCATTCTGATCTATCTCGCTGAGCCGGTGGCGGTGCAGACGCGCTGCTCCACTTGGGATGTTTCGCCTACTTCGGGTTGAAAAAGACTGTACCAACTTGATGGTTAACATATCTGGTCGCTCACCTGTATGCTTAGCAGGTTTTGCGACCCCTTTGCTTTCACCAAGTCAGTTTGACTCCAAACCATCTTGCTGGGCCCTGCCTCCAAACCAACTTCGGACTGGCTTTATGGATTGATTAAAATTTGTCAAGGTCGGGCACGAGAGTGGCAAACGTCAAGCTGTTCGTTTTAGGGGTGAAAGCAAAGGAATTGTGCACGTTAAACCAAAATCGTTTGTAGGCACTACCCCTCAAACGTCCACAGCCCGCTAAAAAACAAGCTTACACGATCGACATGCTCAAACGCGGACTTGCGCAAGGCATGCTCAGAGGTGCGATAGGGGGAGCCGGGTCCCCCAAAAGTGAAGGTGGTTTCAGCTACCACTGGCCGGCCAAAAGTGAAGGTGGTAGTGTCGGACACTCACCTCCCAAAAACGTCGACGGGGGGGGGGGAGGTGCGGGGGGAGGATAGAACGGACGAACGGAGCTATCTTTCTAGGTCTAACGTCGACCCAACGGCCCTCTTTAGGGCCACAGATACGATGAATATTAAAAATATCTATAAATTTTATTTATAAAAATTTAAAATAGACGTGTTTAGTAAATGGTGTATTTGGAAGTAGAAGTTTGTTGGACTGTACGGATTTTATTAAGCAAATTTTGTTATAACGTACAGCGAAGAAAGTAGATCGATCCAGGCAGTAACGGCCGAGAATCAGAATTTCGAATAAATAAATAGTGAAAAATCATGCAAAATTTCCACTGTTATAAATCTGTTGTTTGAAGATGTCAGCAGTTGCGACTTCATAGGTTTTAAAGAGTAAATGTTGCTCTATCAGCTAGTGAAGGAATCTGGTCGATTTAAAAGATAGTCGTTGAAAACCAGAGTTCTAAAACTTTACGCTATTTTTGCGTGTTTTTTGACAGTCGACAGTTAAACTCATATAAATCTTGAGTGTGAAAGTGTGTAATGTTGCGACTTCATAGGTTTTATAGAGTAAGGTTTGTCTTATCAGAATATGTCTTGTCCGTTCCGATCCATTGAAACACCTCCGAGATCCAGAGTCATGAAAAAGCAGGTAAAAAAGAGCTTTTTGAACTTCAACAGCTCATAACTTCTTCAGGATTGCACGAATCATGTTGCGACTTCATATGTTAGATTCTTCTCGTCAAGAGCTTTCAGATGATATATAATATGTGGGGGTTTAGAGCCTCCTGCGAATTATGACCGGGGGGGGGGGGAGACTTTTTAGGCCAAAGTCTCCCCCGGCAGCCTCCAGCCAATACATTAAAATGGGCGAGGGGGAGACTTTGGCCTAAAAAGTCTCCCCCCCCCCGGTCATAATTCGCAGGAGGCTCTAAACCCCCACATATTATATATCATCTGAAAGCCCTTGATGAGAGGAATCTAACCTATGAAGTCGCAACATGATTCATGCAGTTCTGAAGAAGTTATGAGCTGTTGAAGTTCAAAAAGCTCTTTTTTACCTGCTTTTTCATGACTCTGGATCTCGGAGGTGTTTCAATGGATCGGAACGGACAAGACATATTCTGATAAGGCAAACCTTACTCTATAAAACCTATGAAGTCGCAACATCATACACTTCCACATTCAAGATTTATAAGAGTTTAACTCTCAACAGTCAAAAAACACGCAAAAATGGCGTAAAGTTTTAGAACTCTGGTTTTCAACGACTATCTCTTAAATCGACCCGATTCCTTCACTAGCTGATAGAGCAACATCTACTCTTCAAAACCTATGAAGTCGCAACTGCTGACATCTTCAAACAACAGATTTATAACAGTGGAAATTTCGCATGATTTTTCACTATTTAAATATTCAAAATTCTGGTTCTCCGCCGTTACTGCCTGGATCGACCTACTTCCTTCGCTATAAGTTATAACATAATTTGCTTAATAAAATCCGTACAGTTTTGCTAAGCTTTACTTCCAAATACACCATTTACTAAAAACCTTTATTTTAAATATATATGCCGCCGTATGCATAAATATATGCTTTCAATAATCTTTTTTGCGTTTGTTTTGCTTATTTTCCTTCTTTGTCGTCCAGCGAAAAATTTTTTATTCCAAAAGTGAAGGTGGTCACCCCGTACCAGCTCAAAAGTGAAGGTAGGGGGAGACTTGGCTCCCCCTATCGCACCTCTGGGCATGCTTCTCGCAGACCAAGCTTTTTTTGCACAATTCAATAAACAATTGACACAGCAAAGAGACAACGATATGACACCAAATCTGGTATTTGAACAGACAAGAGTTAGAAAGAACAAAATTTGAACAGTTTCCGAAGAAATTGCGTGAATAGTGACAAGCTTTTCATGGGTGAGGGAACATAAAAACCCGAGCCTAATTACCCGACTCGGGTGCCTGCAGCATAAAGTCGTGCTCGCTATCTCCGATGGCTGCCTAGAACATGGCGACAATCTAAGCCCCGCCCCTTGAGAGCCTGTTTTGGAACCTGGCCAAGGAATGCTGAAAGTCTTATTTGAACTTCAGGTCACTGAAACTGGCTCTTAGCCAAAAACTTTCAAAATGATCGTACGAAGGTGGAATTAGGTTCCAACGAAAGAGAAAAACAGTGCCGTCCTCATAATTTACCTACTGGTTGAAACTGAAGGAAC